CTGAATAACATGAAAATCTAGCAATGTTCATTACGTAGCATTATATATTTACATTTACTCAATATTCATATATTCATGTATTTATATTTGTATCTGTTCAGCTGGGCTTAATATTGTTCTGTCCATATTCTCTGCTCTTGCCTCTAAGCATTATCTTATAGTTTATATTTGTTAACTGTTCCATATACACGTTTTACTTTACTAGAACTTTGCCAATAAGATGTTCAGATCTTGGGTGATAAAGCATATTTTGATTTGATTTGATTAGTGTTTGTTTTTGCGATAATTTGCGTACCTATATGAAGTTTTTCATGAATCCTCAATGGGACAACAGTAGTAATAACAATAAGATAAGATTCAGAAATATTTCTGCGGTGGAGATCAATTACAAAAATTAGATTTCTATTGAATTATTGAATATTGAATATGAATATTGAATATTTTTTTTCTTTTTTTAGATGTACAGCTGTTGGTACGATGCGCAGCTTATTCCACATTGGATCCCTGTGTGCTATACCAATATACGGCATGCTGGTCCGGGAAATGCTTCTCTTTCCAGTAGTTTTAACGACCGCTCTTTCTCTCTACTGTACTTTGTTGTTAAGAAATGTCATTCAAGATGACGTCACGGTTCTGTTGTAATAGCTTATGTGCTACACTGAAAACTCCAAGGACGTGAAGGACAAACAAAATATATAAGGTTGTTTCAAAAGTTTAGTCCGTTTCAATATGATCGATAGAGAATGTTATACTATATACGCTGTTCCCAAATTTTAATTCTTTGCCTCCTTATTACTATATGATGCCTCCACAACCCGTAAGAGTTTGTTGTGGCTCACACCTATTGACAATGGACCAAATAAACCCAGTTTCTTAACGAAGCCGATTAGTTTGTATGGTGAGTGGTCTTTCAGGTCAAATGCTAAGAGTACGGCCCTGCCGGACTCTCAAACGCATCGCCCATGAACGAATAACAAAAAAACCATCAACCCGAAATAATAAATGCCATACGTTGCAAGTGAGCCAAGCCTCCGACCGCTTTGAAAAACAAGCCCCGCGAGACCGATCCAACCAGCGACATACGTCCCGATTTGTAATTTCAGTTGCAGAAATTATAGCGTTAGAGGAGGCTAGCCTCCAGTTGGAGGCTAGCAATACTTTTTCACGCTCATTTTGTCTTGTTACTTTCGAAAGTCAAGAGGGAGGGACTGATATTTTGGAAAATAACGCATTTTGAATGAATTTTGAAGTTATTTGAAACCTTTAAAATTTTTCATTTCCAGAATTGTATTAAACAAAATAAATACACCATATATATTACAGTGCAGATATCAAGCTGCCAAAAAACTGATATTAAAGACGTTTTGGTTATTGTTACCATCATAAATCAAATATTCCATCAATTTCATGATTTTATCCCATGAAATTCATTATAATGTATCATTGTTTTGTCTGTGATATAGCTATCGCCTGTTTTTATCGAGCCTCAGCTATTTTAACATATCTAAAATGAATATCATATTATATCATTGCATAAACAAGTCAAATTATTATTAGTAGTTAGAGAGGAAGAGAGTGTTATATTTTAGATTATTAGAGACAAGTCGTAAATGTGGCCCTACAAAAATATCCTGTATTTTTATTGTTGGAAATAAAAGTTTGCCTCTGAACTGGAAATTATTATAACCCACACTCCTGTCAGCGTAACTTTTTGATTATATAAATTTGATACTCACTTCAATATACCTATTATCGAAATAGTTGTCCGAAGCAGTAACTTCATAAATTATCATTTTCGTTCTCAGTGTATATATCTTCCAGCCACCTGTTTGATAACTAAACAAACTCACACTGTCTGTCTATAAATACTTGAGAATTATCAAAGAAAACAAAGACCATGGAAGCTCAGAAGTGGCTTTTTCTTGTCATGTAAAAGTTTCAGTAATTACCCTGACTACCAGATGGCGCCAGCAAAACGATGTCAGTATCATCAGAATTGGGTTGCTAGCAGTCGCTGACAACTGATAACCAGTCGGTCAGATCATATCGAAGTCGGGGTGTACGCCAAAATTTAATTTAATTTAAAAAAACGACAGGTTTGTCAGCGACTACTACCCAGTTCTGTTGGTAATCACATTGAATACTGTCGTCGCCCTCTAGTAGTCAGGGTGAGTACTAAAAAGTTTACGTGACACGAAAATGCCACTTCTGAGCTTTTATGAGCTTTGTATTCTTTGGAAGTATTGAGCAAATTATCGCTTTTGCAGCCGTTGATAGATGAAGGGACAATCCCGGTGAGGAACACCAATGTTTCTTGAAAGACAGTTTCTTTGAGGAACAGAATCATTGCTTAATAACTCAAACCGTTGTTTGGAGTCACATTTTTCTTCAAACAACACTCAAACAGTTTTTTATTGGGTTACTCGCTTGGCTCTCCTTATTCCTTGGCAGAAATGACAACCAATTATGAATAGAAGTTATCGACACAATATAACGTATTAGTTCCCCTACTGAGTCACAGATGGCGCATGGAATGAACTTTTCAATATGTTCCGGTTCAAAATCAGTGAAAGTGAGAGCTAATTGAATATTATTGACATCCGGAACTTCTGCACTACGTTAATTTACTGATTTTCGTACAGCGTTGTACTATGAGGATTTTTTTCACTTATAGTAAGGGGGCATACTTGAAGACTAGCTGTTAGTAATTCAAATTAATTTCATAAACTACACCTAACAAGTTGATCTCCACAAACTGTATTTGACAAATATATCACAACATGTTTCGCTAACACAGTAGCTTTTTCAACAGTAATTCGAATGAAATCACTCAACAAACCATTTCAAGCCAAACCTTGGCTCGTGGCTTCAACAGTTTTTCTTCGCCAAAAAACAATGCTTTATTTAAAACACGAAATTTCCTTCTATTTTTTTTTTCAAACTAACAAAAGTTGCTTCAGTTAAAATGTTCTATCCTTCAAACAAATAATCCAACAGCTGTGAAAATTATGCACGTGTCTTTTGAAGGTTAGGGTTGACTAAACCATATGGATTTAATACTTGTAGCCTGTATGTTAGCCTACGAAATTTTCAGACTCGCTATTTCATCATGCTGTTTGCTCTGCTTATATTGCTGAATAACATGGAAATTTATCGATAATGTTTCTGTAGAGAAATTGTAAAACATTCCATTCTATAGTGAACAAGAAACATAAAAGAAGAAGTAATTTGACCAGTCATAAAAAATATTTGATAGTATTTTACGATGCGATACTCACATTATCACTGTTCAAAATACATTGATAACTATGATACAAAGCCCATAGGAGTTCAGAAGTGGCATTTTCGTGTCACCTAAAATTTTCACCCACCAGAGGGCGATAGCGGTAAGTACTAAACATTTTAGGTGACACGAAAACAGTGTTGTCAACCGTAGCGGAATTCCACTACTAAAGCTGGATTTACTCGATGGTAGCGGTGTAGCGGATTTGAACTTAAAGTAATGGAATTTTCTACAAATAATCAATATTGAAAAAAATATAGAAGAAGAAGAGGCAGTGGACAGCAATCGAAACTGACAATTGAATGCACAGTCAATACCTTTTAGTCTTAGTGGCTGAGGTCATTAAATGATGAAAGAGAAGAAGATTTTAAAAAATATTTTCATTCATATAACCTTCAATATTTTGAAACTGAAAGACTATAAGTCTCGAGTATTATGAATTATATGGAACAAATTACACTGGAAATGGATGATAGTTCACCTAATTGTAGTTCAAGCTGAAGAACTGTCACAGTTGAAATTGACGGGAACAGAACTGACTACGTACGTGAACACAATAAAATTGTGATGTGATGTTCCTTCAGTTTTTATTGATTTTGAGGTAATGCTCTTCTATAGTGAATACAATTCCAAAATCATTACTTCAAGCTATGAAATATTTGGTTGAGACGACAGCTTTCAAAAATTAACTGCTGAAATTCAGAAAATTAGGTTCCATCTACTGAGTTGCACGGTTAAAAGTGAGCACGATCCTAATTCGTGACAGTTCCAGTTTTGTGTATCTGAAAGGTACACAAACTGTACATTCTGTGGTATTTAATTTTGGACGGAGCACATATTCAGATATACAAGCGTAACGAAATATGAAGCATTGTGCGGAATTTTGCTTCCTGTGTAGCGACTTTATAGTTCATCCAGTTGGCAACACTGCACGAAAATGAGCTTCTATGGGCTTTGTATTCTTTGTTCAAATTTATATATCATAGTTCTCAAGGCATTCTTTTATTTTCCTCGTTCACTATAGAATGGAAAGTTACTTTCTTACAGCATTATAATTCTAACATGTTCAAATGCTGGGCTTGTTTCATGCTATAAAATGATACTGGTTTGCTTACGAACTGATCGAGTTAGGGGTATATTATATATAGCAAGCCTAATCGGTCCCAAAATCTCTTTATATTTGCAGAAAAAAGAATAGTTCGAAAGGCAAGAATTTAAATTGGCCGCGTGTCTGTTGACCAATAAAATTGATCGTATCTAAAGCGGAGTTGCCAAGTGTATTGGTTTTTAATATCCAATCACAGATCTGATGATCCAAATTGACAAACGCCATTTTTGTTGTTATTGTTGTCAACTCGGTGTCAACCTACTAAATATACCACCTACCGTTTAAATTTTTCATTTTTCATTTCTAAATTTTTCTAAAAAATTCATCGATCATTTCAATATCGACTGTTGATAAGTTGTCGGGAGTCAGCTTTAACAAAACTAGGCTCAACATTCATTTTGAAATTATTTCAACAAAAATACGAAGGTTTTGGAAACCATTGACATTAGAAAGAGCACATTGTCGCATACACTACAGAGGGAGAGGGAGCTGGACTGGATGACAATATGGCTAATAAACCAGTAACGTTGAGTTTCTCATTTTTGGTGGGTGTCATGAATGCATAATTGATTTATTTTATCAGGGTTCATGAGCATACGAATCATTATAATAAATTGCAGTTGTACAGATTGAGGATTGTAGAATAAATTGAATATTTGAAATGATTCTTTAATCCAGTTTGCTATATTTTTTTATTTTCATAACTGTTTATTATTAAATAATGCATAAAATCATAGTTTAGGTGGATATTTCGTGATCTATCGACTTTGTGTACTGATTTTAGATATGGAACTTATTTCCAAACATGATTTCTCGCGAACATTTTATTCCATGTGGAGAATTTCTCATCAATTGAAACGTTAACGGGTTCATATACACTCCCATAATTGAATTGATAATTATAGGCTACGTAAATTCCACGATTTGGCAATGTTGATTATTTCTATTGTTCCTATTGGTCAATCGAACAAGAAGCGAAAATAGGGTCGTGAAGTCACCACCCTACCACATTCGATTTTCATTAATTAATTACGGGAAAACTATGGTACTTAGAGAGATGAAACAAAGTGCACCGTTTTTCAAATTGAAATTTCTATCAATTGAACTATAAACCAAAAATCATCAAACAAGCCCATTGCAAAATAATAAAGAATAAATTAGAAATGGTTTTTGATATTTCACCTTGCACTTATTTGCAGGAAATGCGAGATATCTAAGGTTTTGATATTCTTTCACACTGAAAGAACCGCCATCATGCCAATATCGTTTTTCATCGATTTTTAAAAGTATATTCTTCTACAACCAACCTTACTTTACAATAAAATGTATGTACTGAGTGTTATTTTTGGACTGTAACAATCGTTTCATGACTCCACCCCATGTTTTTCATCACTTGAGTTTGAAACGTGTAATTTATTTTCATATTTCAGTGAACTTCACAGTCTTTACAGCAGCCCTCCCCATGAAATTCTCCACCCACCCTCCTCCTCGGAAATATCCGTATCATCACCTGGATAACGAGCCCTCTCCACAGCCCTCGCCGCCCCCACCCGCCCCGGTTATTAATATCATAAGGGAATAAGGTGGTGTTACTGCGCAGCTAGAAGCAATTTTCTGTTTTCCCCCCCG